AAACCCATGTTAAATATGGTAAAAACCTGTAAGAAGTGGGACATCTTAGAGTTGTTAGAGAAGGAGGGCAAAAGCAAGGCAAGATAATGCCACAATCAACATGTTGGTCGGGGGTAGGTGATAGAGGACCACTGTGGTTTATGGCTGTTGGTAGCATTTAGGTAGAAAGGACTCTTGGGTGAACGGTCGCCACTGGAGTCTCAGAGGTATTAACCAGGGATTGATTCTGGCAGACCGACAAGATCTCTAGACTGAGAAGCAGGAGAAGACTAGAAAAAACTTGTGTAAGCTTCCTGCCTACAAAATCATAAAGAGGAACATCAAGTGTACCAGGATAAATCAAAGGGTATGAGGGTATATAAGATGCTAATAAGGGTAGAGATGGTGGTACTGATTAAGTGCATAGCAAATAAGCAGGTACTAAAGTAGTAAAAACTAATGTTTTAAATAGGGTGTGGTCAGTGGGAAACAGCTGGATGCCTGGTTAGCAGGGGGAGAGGGCAGGAAAACAAAATAAACAAGCTACAATTATTGGCGCAGCCTGTGAAACAAGCTTTTGCGCAGATGAAAGAAATACGGTGGAACAATTGTGACTGGAACACTAAAACTGGAAATGCTCTTGCCAGAAAAGATAGGTAAAGGGAAAAGTGGTGCAGTCACATTGTCTATTACCGATACAAAACCTGGGAAGAAGTGAGATGAAATAGCATGGATAAAATGCTGTCTATGGGTCAAGACTGTTTTGAGGGCGATGTTTTATTGGGGCCAGCAATGTTAGGTTTGGATATGGACAGGCCGATCTTCGGTGTTGTTGGGGAGGGGGATCCAGATGGAATTAAATAGCTGCTGCACAAACAAAAGCGTGTTGCTGTTTTCAAGATGTTTTTGATAAGTAATGAGTATTTTGCTATTTTCAAAAGACATGGTTTGAGGCTTTTTTGTTTGCGGGGGAGGGATTTTTTTCCCTAAATAACCTTGGACCAGGAGATCCTTCAGATGAAATGGAAGGAAAAAATGTTTGCGTATAGATACAGTTTTACATAGTAAGGGGCTTTTTTTTGAAAAGTAAGTAAACGATTTCATCTGGAATAAAGAGGTTAAGAATAGAAAGAAGGATGTGAAGGTCTGCCATTTATTTACCTCAGATGCAAAAAGGTACCTGAAGATTATATTTTAACAAAAGGGATGAAACTTTGATGGAAGGACTTAGAATCATAGACTATCTCAAGATGAAAGGCACCCATAAGGATCACCGAGTCCAGCTCCCTGTGCCTCGCAGGAATACCTAAAACTACACCATATGACTAAGAACTTTGACAGGCTTGGTGCTGTGACCCCTTCCCTGGGGAGTCTGTTCCAGTGACTGACCACCCTTTCAGTGAAGAGCCTTTTCCTATCAGTTGGACTCAATGATCTTAAAGGTCTTTTCCAACCTAAATGATTCTATGATTCTAATGTCCAGTCTGAACTTCCCCTGACGCAGCTTCATTCCATTTCCTCGTGTCCTGTTGCTGGTCAGCAGAGAGAGGAGGTCAGCACCTCCCCCTCCGCTGCCCAGACCAGTAAGTAGGTTGACAAATCAAATAGCATTACATCACAAGAAAATGACATCTCAGTGACCAGAAACCATAAGGGTGTAGTATTATTTCCAGAGATTAAGTACAAAGATAGGGTCTGGCTAGAAAGAAAAAGCTATTAACTCTGTCAGCCATAGAAGAAAAGGACATTAAAAAATGTGGGGAGGATGAAGAGATTGAAATTTAGGAAGGCTCAAAATCAAAGCTGATATTTTATCATCAGGACCATAGTGATGTTATACGTATGTTGAACATAGAGGCAAAGGAAGGATGTGCAATGGGAATGAATGTATGGAAATTATTTCCAAGGTGGAAAAAATCCTTTACAAACTTCATGAACTCAAGTCATGGCTAATTGCCGGCTGAGTTTGATTAGTAAAGTGATTAGACTGAGGTTGATTAGTAAAGTGATAAAAGCTCTAATGTGATCATTTCAAATTAACATGGTATGCTTATCCCAAACACAAGCTACTTATTGTACTTCTCAATCTCTTATCAAAGATTTAAGTATGAGATGGGGAGAATGAATTGTAGTTTCTAGAGCTGTCTTTTCCTGCTTTCATGTGGTAATAATGTAGTCTTTGTTCATGATATAAAATTCCATCAAAACCACCTACGTTTTTGTTGTTTCCAGACTGGATTAGTGTATCTCTCTGTACTGTGTTTTTTGACTTCAAAATTGGTTATCTAGGGCAGCTAAAGCCTTGGGGAGAGGGTGTGTTACATGGTGGGGGGGTGTGATCTGTTAAGCTTAATGTTTTTGAATGTTGCATATGGAGGAACTTGTGTATCATTTAGAGTTGTGAATTTTCATTGGTTTCTGCTGTAGTTCTATTTAACAATTTTCAAGGCAGGAATGTGAGGCTTGGGTTAAACTAAGGCACCAAGTCTTACGTCTTTTGACTGTGTTGCAAATATATACTTACATAGATGATTTTTTTTTTTTACACAATGTTTATCGTGAAGATTATTAATGAGAAAGAATGCTTTCTCGGCAGTGCTGTCTTGCTCATTTTATTGACTTATTGTTCTGTGATTGGATATTAGCTGTGCAATAAGGTTAGGATTCTCATTTTCTCACCGCTATACAACCCAAATTTTATTTCTTCAAGCATAATTCAGACACATAGAATTCAGCAATTTTTGAGTAACTTATCTTCTGTACTTCACTAGTAGGCAGAACTATCAAAGTTTATTTTTTCAACATATAAGAGAGTGTATAAACCATGGATTTTAATAACTTTTAAGTTCATTAGCATTTATACTTCTTTAGGGAATGTGTAATATTCATATGTTCTACCTACCCTTTCAGTTTTTGTTGGAACTCTGAACAGAGTACAGTATTTGTTTTGGGAATGGAGAGAATTCTACTTGCTAATAGTCATAGTCTCCTACAACATGTCATTTACATTAGGCTTTTCTGCTTAGGAAGTGTAGAAAAAATATGGCCACAAATTTTCCAATAAAATATGTTGCTTTTGAAAAACTGTTTTTCTCTGAATTCCAGTTTTTCTTTTGGAACAATAGAAATTAAAAAAAAAAAAAAAGCTAAAACATTTTGATTGACTTAAAACATTTTCTGCCTTCCGTCTCCTGTTCTCCTCAAAAAATTATTTTGCAGGACATATTTAGGATTTCCTGGCTTTGCTCAGGCTTAGAGTGATTATTATTTTTAAATTTTCCAACTGTAGTTTACTACTTTGTCTGGTCTTGCAAAATGATTACCCAAGGAATTGGACAATTTTTCAGTTTTTTGTTGCAACAGGGTATAGAAAAATGTAATTCTGCATAGTATTAGAACATTTCAGCAGAACTAAAACTGCAAAATATGATTTGTGATAGTTCGTAGTCAAGTAAACTCTGTAATTAAATAATATTACTTTCAGGGTTTTATTTGAATCTGACTCCTTTTGGATTGCTTGGAACTATGTAAAGGAATGTGATTTTATTAGTCTGTCCCTTTCCTTACTACAAATATACCTCAGCCATTTTCTTGGGGTAGGTTTCTGGATAATCTCAAGAACAGGTCTCTGGAGATAATTTTGTGAGAGAGAATGTGAATAAGATTGAATATTTAAATATTAGTATTTAAAATTAGGAGGTTAAGTGTGGATTTAAAGCCTAAATTATTGCTGCCTGTTGTGATTTTTTCTTATTAAAAGAATGAAGCCACCTAATAAATCCCGTTAACATCAATAGCAGTTACAAGATGCTTAGCAGTTTAAATCACATAATTGATTGTTTTAATTTTATACAACTATTATTTGCATTATTGATATAGGTTGGGTAGCCAACAGTTGGATTTAGAAAAAGAGAGAAAGAAGCGATCCTATCCAATTTTTCCTTTTGTCTGGGAATCTTTGCATTCATTTTCCATGCTGAGAAAATTCTGAGAACCTGTCTAGCTCCTTCCATAAATCTTGGACTAAGTTATATGTGAGACTTGGATAGATGAATCATGTGAAGGCAAGTAATTTAATATTCCCTTATTTATACCTATGGCCTTAAATTTGCTAGTTTAGTGATGACTGGCATTTGAAGAGTTTCTCCCTTATCTTAAAATTTCTAACCAACTTTCTGGCTATAGCTACCTTTAATATTTTATTTTTCTTGCTATTGAATTTTGATTTAAATAACTTCATAGTGGATTTTCAGAGAAAAAGTTAGTGCTGAAGCTGCTGCACTTTTGCTATGCAAAAGTTACCATTCTCTTTCAAAGGGTTTGAGAAGAAAACGTTTCAACAATCCAAAGCTCCACCAAAAGAAAAAAAAAGCCTGAATTGAATTGTACTCCAAGTCACAATAATTTATTCTATATTAGAAGTGTTTCCAAAAGCATGGTTCACTATAATATGCTTGTGTCTTTCTCTTTTTAATAAGAAATTTCATGCCTAAAGCACATCAGTACTATCTTAGACAGGGAAAAACTAGCTAAAGGATTGAAATGCATTAGGCAATGTCATTTTAATATTTTACACAGTTTTACTCTGCAAGTATTTGTTTGGGATTGTAAATTTGATTCTTATTCCTGTTACATGCACTTTGAAAGTTGAATCTCTTCAAAGCTTTTTTATTTATTATTAGCCATAATAAAGAGTTTTTACATAAATGTTTATTACATTTTCTTACATGGGGTAATAAAAAGACTTGTAGCATGTTTTGGTGTAAGCTTACTGGCATTTAGTGTTCTCTTTAATATCATTTCTTCATTGTGTCAAGAATGCCTAAAATCCTGAATCATAGAATCATAGAATCATTAAGGTTGGCAAAGACCTCTAAGATCATCAGGTCCAACCGTTAACCCAACACCGCCATGCCCACTAAACCATGTCCCTAAGCGCCTCATCTACACGTGCTTTGAATTTTTTTTTTTTAGGTTGATTAAGTCTAAATAAATACTAAATCAGGACATACTTTGCATTTACAGGCACTTGCAGACCAATTTGAAGATGCAAATACGTCGGTATCTGAACGCATGAAGATTTTCTACTGTTGTCAGGTGCCTCCACATTGGGCCATACAGGTGTGAAACAATCCCATTTGAAGCTTTACTTAAAAGTCTGTGGTTCTTATAATCTTTGATACTGCATGACTCCAAAGTCAAGAGAGTGCGATACGATCTTGAGTTGAAACACTGTAGAAATAAAGATGTAACTAACAGCACACCAGGTTTTTCTGGAAAGAAATCAAGTTCTACGGTGTTTTGCTTTCAGATGTCTTGTCATGCACAGAAGTAATTGCTTGTAGTGCAATTCTTCTTTACTTTCCTTTTTCCTTCAGTAAAAAATGGACCAAAACTTTCAAACTTCCAACATATCTCCTGTAAAAATAATCAGTCTTACTATTTATTACTGTTTTACTTATGCTACTGTTACTTGCATCTTTCTCATCTTTTAATGATCACTCACTTTAGGTTGTTTTCAGGAAGTGGATCATGGTCAAAGCAGCCAAATTAGGAGTCAAAAAAACACTGAAGAACTCCTCAAGCTGAGAAAGTTTTTATTTTCAAGACATGCCCCTTTTACTATTGCTGACAGAATATTTTTTTTTTCAAAATTATGCTGTTTATCTTCACAATAACTCTTTCTAGAATAGAAAATCCACACATTACACTCTTATCTGATGATGCTGTGTTTAACAAACTTAAGAAAACTGTTTGCATCACATACCTCCAAAGGTGTTCATGTTGTTTACTTTTAACGGTGTTTTATTCCTTTTTGATTTCTAACCTCAATACACGTTGCTTTAACCAATCATATCTTCTCCTAGCATTCTCAAATTATTCCATACAACCTTTCAACAGGCACTTGCAATAAAATCAGCAAATGTGGTTTTCATTTCCAGTTGTCAGAGTGGCACTTTTCAATCCAAGCCAATTTTCCAAGCCAAAGATAGAAATACTAAAATAGGGAATTATAATGGAAGATGGCTGCAGTCTTCTAGTCATAGTAATGAAGAGGCATTGCCTATACAAATTTTAACTCTGAGTAAACTTAATAAAACATAAATAAGATTTAGTTCCAGACAAATGTAGGTTTTTTCCTAAGCAATTAATATCAAGCTAACAAGTAATTACTTTGTTACAGATTTTCAGTTTGTTATGTATTTATGTCAAAGAACTGTAGCCAGTTCTTAATTCTTAATAGACTACCAGTCTATTTCCGTATGGTGACTCCTTGGATTTGTAGCAGATACTGAACCCAAGCCTATAGAGATCTGTGACATCTGCAGAGAACTTCAAGGAATCCATTCAGGATCACCAAAAACACTGCAGAAGTTCACTGTGTGGTATCTCGTAGCATAGTTAGGTGTCCTTATAAAGAATGCTCCCATTTGTTTTTGCAAACCAAATTGTATATGTCACACATAGTAAATAAGTTATCCTTCCTTCAAAGATGAAAACCTATACGCAATTTTAATCTCCTCTTAAAAAATAAAAAAAAGACCAAAGGCAACTTTTCAAAGTCATGAAAACATACCTTGTTTATTTTTAAATTGAAAAGATTACTCATTTATTTTCATAAGTATATAAATAATAAAATAATAATAGCTGAATTTGAAATAACAAAGAGGCTGAATTATCTGTGAGGAAAACTCAACTAGAGAGTTGAACCTGAACTCAAATCCAATATTGATTTGACTAAAAACTAACACCCTTTGGCAGTGGCTGTTTGGGACAGTGATTTCTCGCGAGTACCTGACAAATTGTATCAGAGCCTTTCTCTCTATCTGGTTTGCACAGGTACAGATTACTATGGCAAAGGATTGCTAGAAGAGGCTTTAATGCCCTCCTTCAGCCTCTGTTTCCTACTCTTAGCATTCCCAACATCCTGCTGCAGCTGCTCTCCACTGCATGGGCCATGTGCCTCATTTAAGGGGTGGAAGTTCAGCTCTGTCAATTTATCCTTGCCATGTCTGTTTCCATTTTTGCATTATATTATAAATCAGTTCAAAGTAATTAAGCTACTGACATGAACAAAAATAAAATCAAAACAATTATTGTTCTATTGATTTTTTTTTTTTTTTTGGAGGTATATACATTGAGGCTCCAGCTTGAAGTTTCAAGAGAATAATTCCATATTCTCTGTCTGCTTCTTGTTGATGTCAGAAATGCCTCTAACTCTTTTAAAAATGTAAATAGTATTTACCTACCTATTTTCAGTTACCTGGAATTTCTTATCTTTCCAGCGTCAGCTTGCAAGCTTACTCTTTGAGCTGGGATGCACGAGCTCTGCCTTACAGATATTTGAGGAGCTGGAAATGTGGGAAGATGCAGTGATCTGCTATGAAAGAGCAGGACAGCATGGAAGGGTAAGAAAAATGATTTTTACAGCTGACATCCTGTCTTGAAATAGGATCTGAAGTATGAAAGACTGCCTGGCTTGAGCTGTCAATTCACTAATGATGCTCACTTCTACAGGGGTATCATGAGGGAAAAAGGACACACGACATACGAGTCTGTCACAACCTGTGAATGCTAAAAAAAAAAAAAAAGATTTGGGGTAATGACCACATGAAAACAGAAGTTAGTAAATGAGAAATAACAGGAAGCAAGAAGATTGTGATAGTGATTCTTGAAAATATTCAAGGAAAATTAACAACTGTGGATGCACAGCAAGGTGTGATGTGGACATTTTAAGAAGGCTGTAGCAGTCATTCATGATGGGGTCTTGGAGCTTTGTCTGGAGGGGGTGTTAGTTTTCTTTCCCACTTGCTTTCAAACTATTAACTGTAGTTTTTAAAACACTTTAAATAGAACAACACCAGTGCTTCATGTATTTTATTACCTAATGTTAACATATTCAAATTACAGAATCAAACATTTGAGACAAGAAGTGGCGTAAGATTAAAAGGCTTTATTTTGTTAAGTCCATGTTGATGTTTTCCTGAACTTCTCCATCATTTCTTTAACATTGCTGCAGCTACATGTGATCAGCTCCAGACAAAGATAATTTGAAGCCATCACCTAACTCTATGTATCCGTGACAGAATTGTTTAAAAATACTGGTAGCAGGCTGTAGCAGCCTCCTATTGTTGATTTTTTTGGTGTTACTATTAGAGCAACGGTAGCAAGATTTTAGAAAATGATACCTGAAAGCAATGCCTATTGGTGTGTAACTTTAGCTGTGTTCTCTTTTTGGTGCAATCTCTCACACATGAAGACTGTAACAGGAACTTATGCTATCAAGAATTGTTTTCAGAATTTATATAGCTTTCAGAAATACTAACTTTCAGACAAAAATATGTTTTTTCTTTCCTTCTCTGTTCTCTCCCTCTGTTTCTTATATGGTAGCATTAAATACATGAATGTATGTGTGCCTTTCTGAAGACAAAATCACAAAGACTATGCTTAAACTAATTTAAGCTTACAGAATAGAGATTTATAACTTTAATTAATCGAAAAAATGCAGAATTTCTCATACTTACATGTTCTTTCTAATTATCGTGCACCAATGCCTAGATTTTCATCATTATAAACAGACAGATATGTTTTGCTGACAAATTCTGTGACCCATTATGCATGCCTTGGGGATAGTATGCTAATATCCCAATCTTTTCAGTACAGTGGAGAAATAGAGGTCAATATTTTCCATTTCCTGGAAATGCATTCTGTCCTACTTACATTCACGAACTGCCCTTAGGGAGTTATGAAAATGGCACTCGGAGAATAGGACAGGATATCTGACACAGGAAACTGCTTAGAAATGCTTTCAGAATGAGGGTTTGTTCTGTGCTTTGAAAAACAGAAAATGCTATGTAAGTACTAAGTAACAGTAGTGCTGGGAAAAAAGCTAGCTTCAGATCAAAAAAGCCAGAAGATTAGAAACATTTAGCTGTGCACCAAGGGGAGTGACTATTTGTGCTCCTTATCAGAACACTTTCAGTGTGTGAACTGTTTGTTTTTTTCAAAAATGTTTTTATGTTTTTGAACATAGTAGTTATTCTTTTAGAAATGCACGAGAATCTACTAGAGCAATATGTTGTTCAGTGGATGTTCATGTCATTAAAGAGCTTAGCATATATGTGCCTAAAAGAACAAACTCTATTTAATAAAATTCTGCATATTTTTCTCTCACAAATGCTTTTATAGAGAAAACCTGAATTTAAATACTGAAAAATCTAATAAAACAGATATCAGCAGTATCAGTGTGTTTGATGAGTACTTATGCATCGAAGTAATACATTCCTTCCATAATTCCTTTTGAATTATGCACTGACAAAGAAACAGAGCATGTAGATAAGGCTATGTGAAGCTCCCCATTATGCACTTGGGAAATACATAATTCACGTAGTTATAAGAGGGTCATGTAGCAGTACAAATTTTGCAGAGTAAGATGTCACTAACATTTAGCAAACTCTTTTGTGGATCTTTTACTGTTACTAGATATGGCTCTATACTCGTTTCCTAATCCGAACAAAATTAGTAGAAACTGATATCATAACATGAGTCAACAGCAGAGTAACAGAGTGCCAAGCAATGAGCAAAACAGGGCACAGAACAAAAAAAAAGTATTATAAAATCTGAATGCATGGTATGTTGATAGTTGCTGTGGCTTTCTCATTCCAGTCCTTCACTCATTGTATTCCTTTAACAGACGTGTTGCAAAAGCAGACACTAATCTCCATGTGCGTAGTGAGAACTGGTGTTGAAAAGTGTCCTTCTCCCTTCTTTTAACTGTGAGGAGGACCCAGAGATCTCGAGAGTATTATTTACATCGGACAACTTTATTCCGTAAAGGTGTAAGAGGTCTCTCCAACCTCAATGGTTCTATTTCCCTGCTAAAGAAAAAAGAAGGGATAAACTGGAGGTGTGAGTTTTCAGTTCTTCCAGTTGAAGTGAGACCTTTCTCCCTGGCAGGAGCTCTAGAGCATGGTAGCTGCTGACCTTTGATAAATTCATGAGATCTACCTTTTAGCATTAGCCTGGTATTCCATCTTACAACCCTATTTTCAGCCCTCTCCCTGTTCCATCGTCTCCTCAGAGTAAACAGCATGGTACACAGTCTGGTTTTAGACCAACATGCCCAGCAATCCAAGTTCTACAGAGTTATTTTTCTTGTCGTGACGTGACACAGATATCTCTAAAACATTTGAGCAAGGAAACACAATCATGGTAAGATCTCAGAAGCTCACCTTTTAAATTCAGGAAATGCTTCCCAGATGCAAAGTCAAGTAGTACTATACCGATTAGTGCATGAGATCTTTCAAGAACTTGATTGATTTCCACTACATATCATAACAGTTGTAGAAGGCAGGAAAGCACTCCTACGTGTAGCTACAAAATTGAGAAAGAGGAGTAAATGGCTTGCCCAAGGTCATGCATGACGTTACAGGGAAGATGAAATGAAAACTGAAGAGCTCTCCTTGTCTTTCACTACTTCTTTCCATGCTCATCTGTTCTGCTTCTTCATGCTACTTCTCTGGTAGCCTAGCAAATAACGTGCAAGCAGAAAAGATGAAAGCATTTTAGGAACCTCTTTGAGTTAGCAAAGGAATGAATTGTCAAATAATAGAGCTGGTAGATCTGTGAAGAGTGAAGCTAATACGGTCTTTTAGGAAAGAAATGAAATAAAAGTATGGGAACACGTGGATGGGACAGCAAGTGGAAGTTTAGGGTTGGGAAGCCAAACGCAGGATGAATCTTGAACTTGGTTTCCAGGAGTCTCTGTAGTGAGTAATAAAAAGGCACCACCTTTTATTTAAAACAGAATCCTCTTTACTGATTGTGGATTTTTGTGAAGCGTTGCCTGTTTCATTCCCGTACCAACTGTAATAGTCCAGAAAGCAAGATAACAGCCTAAATCTTTCTCATGTTTAGATCAACTGACTTTTGAACTGAGTATTGAATTCCATCCATTTTGGTGCAGACTATTCTGTGAAAAGCAGTGTTGTTATAATTAAATCTGTTTCAGTCAGCAAGGGTTATACAGCTTCATTTTTTTCTTTTTGGGTAACTTTTAATTGATAATTTTCCTATCAAAGCTTATTTAATTTAGGTACAATTTTTAGTTATAAAGTGTGCGAATTAATCATTAATATCTGTTTAATGGGTAAGAATAAATCTCTAGTGATTATATTTCTTTTATGTACATTGCGTGAGCTGTGTGGAAAATGTTTCTTGATAATATTTTTTGTTGTTAAGAGAAGATTTGCTTTTTGAAGAAGCAGAGTTCTTATCAAAGATTAAATGTGCATTTTTGAAAATAGTTTACTACAAAGTTAGGAGAAAGGAATATTTTTCTTCACAAAAAAATAGGTAATATGAGAAGTCCTGTTTTAAAGTTTTATCTGGTTTTGTAGAAGACAAATGACAAATGTTTTGAGAATACAATTTTTTTTTTAGTTTGTAGTTATGATTCCCTTTGTATTAGCCTTTAGAGATTTAAGTAATAAAAAAGTTTGTAACATGCCAGAGAGATGATCAGATAGCTAATCAGATGGAGAAAAAGTCAGATTTCTGCTTATTTAATTCTCTGTTTTATCTGTGTGCTGAAATACTTATGTTGGCAATGAATTCTTGTAAGCTTAGAACATGATGTTTTTATGCTCTTAAATGTGAAATGCAATTAGTGAATGGTTGGCTTTCTAGTCTAGTGTATGATTAGTACTAGGCACTGCCACAGAATAGCAATCTGAGCTTGGGAGTGCCCTGCAGAGGAAGAGGTAAAGAAGCAGCATGCAATGCACTTTTCAGTCACTCATAGCTGCTGTTCACACAGCAAAACTTCAGTCTTTTTTCTTCATCTGAAGGGAAAAAAAACCCTTACCTTTTGGTGCCTAATGTAATTACTGCAGTAATAAAGCACCCAGTTCTCTCTGCTCTAGAAAAAATCATCTTAAAGTTCTTTAAGTGTTCCTTTAATCTTGTCATAGAAACTAACGAAGGCAGGGAAGGGGAAGTAAATTGCCCTTTAACCAAGCCCTCTGCAAGTGCAATCTTCTTGTTGGGTGAGGTTTTCTAGTGCTTTGACTAGGCTAATTCTAAATTTTAAGTAGTAGTTTCTTTGGCATTCTTTGGAGATCTGTTCTATAGGCACTTAAAACCACTTGCCATTAAGTTATCTTCCTAATATTCAGCCACTAATTTTCTTCTTAATGGGATTCCATTTTTGCTAGTTTAAGATCCTTTTAGAAATCCAAACAATATATCCCTTCTTCACATTTGTGCACTTCAAATATTTGTAGACTTTTACTGCTACTTTATTTAACAAAAATGGTAGTAAGAATGAAGTATTAAAATTACTATACATTAAACATTTTAAAACAAAGTAAAACAAAGTCATTTTTCTAAAGATGATTTTCAGACAGGATCAATGAATTTTACTGATTGGAGGAAGAGGAGTAGGAGACTGATTTTATAGAGATCATCTGAAGGGCAAAGAAAACAGTTCTTACAGAAACAAGAAGAGCAGTAATAATTTAAATGCAGAGATGGAACTCAGCTTTCCTTTTAGATAAACTAGCTATGATAGAAGAATGACTAGTGTTACAAGGTCAAACTTCAGTTCTGTGGCAGGCTGCGTCAAATCTTTCTTGGTTCAGATGCTTCAAATAGATCTTTTCTAATAGAAAAATTATACTGAGCTGAATTATGTATGTTACATTTTTGCAGCAGGGGACTGAGGTAAGAGTTTGGTCTGAACAACAGATCATCTGTCCAGTGTATTTATCTTTTCAAAAAGCCACAGAAAGCAGACTATCTCTTGTTTAAAAGAGAAACAATAATTTTATTGTTAGAGCGAGATAGTGACCCTGAGATAAAGAGCTTTTGAAAGTTGGTTACAGTCCATAACACATGTCTGGGAGACCCACCTTGTGTCTTCTATTCCATAATGCTGTATATATTCTGAATATATTTTATCTCAAACGTTTAGATAAATTTATAACTTCTGCATTTTATATAAAAAAGTAGCATTTCCAAAACCAACAGTATGAAAGTGGATGTGTCTTCAGACATAACAGAATGGAAGTAGCTATTTTCAGAAAAGAGCAATTAGAGAAAAAGGAATGACAGTCATTGCAAGAGTACTTACTAGGATTTATAAAAAACACAGATGATAAACTATTAGGATTGCACGTACTTAATGGTGCTGATACTGCATTGCTCTGAGGTAGGTGTAGGTTTGATGTCCAGGACTGATATTTGTTCTTGGGACAGAATACACACCTAAGATATAAAATGAGGAGCAAGCTGTTTCTTGTTTTAATGGGTACATTTTCCTTGGTGCATTAAATCAAAAGCCACCATATTATGTTGATGTTGAAGTGTGTTTTTTTTAAAAAACAGTTTGGAACCAGATTCACTCTAGACTTTATCTTTGATGCTGTGTTGGATCGAGATACCGTTTCCTTACTATCCCTACTTCTTAGTCTTTGACTGCTGATTGCAAGGTGCTAAAGTGGTATTTGTTCAGGTAGGCGGTTAACTGAAAATACATTGTCCCATTATGTATTGATTTCTCTTTGTTCTTTAACAGGCGGAAGAAATACTCAGGCGGGAGCTGGAGAAAAAGGAAACACCGGGATTATATTGTTTGCTTGGTGATGTTCTTAAAGACCACCAGTACTATGACAAGGCCTGGGAGCTCTCCAGGCACCGCAGTGCCCGTGCCCAACGCTCCAAAGGCCTCCTCCATCTGCGCAACCGGGAATTCAGGGAATGCGTGGAGTGCTTTGAACGTTCCGTGCAGATCAACCCTATGCAGGTTGGGAAATGATACACATATGGCTTTGTTTCAGTTGATGTGTTCAGTTTTGAATAACGACACACTTTTTTAAAAGGCAATTCTGTGCACAAATGTAAAAGTAACAGCTTATTACTATTCTTAGCAAATTTTTTACCACGTACTTGGAAGTCTGGCTAAAAACAGTAGCATAATGAAATGAAGACATCCTGTTGCATTCAGGTCCTTGCATGCAGCTACCTCTGCCTGTACAGCTCTTCTATTTCAAAGAGATCAAGCCATTGAAAATTAATAATTATCATCAAATAAATAATGAGCAAGTGTCAAGCAAAATACTCATAAAAAGAATGCTGTACAGATTTTAATGAAATTATCCTTTTGCTTTGTCTGTTGGCTTTGAGTTACAAACTCTGATCTCCGAATTTCACAGAATTTTTTTCTGTGAGTATTCTGGTCTGTCCTGCTCTGGAATCACTGAGAAGCATTGTGTTACACTTGTGATGACAGTAGCTTTTATTACAGTAATGCATCAAAACTGAAACCACAGTCAAAAGAGTTCTGTTGATGAAGCCGGGTATTTTGACAGATCCTTTGCAAGCTCTTCTGCAGACAATTTTTATAATCTTGTTTCAGTTTCTCAGCTACTATATCCCAAACCAATAAGGTCCACCCTGTGAAAGGTCATGAGAATTTAAAACAGCTTTGTGATTTTTTATGTATATAAATTGTGCTCTTCGTAGCCATTTCCAGATCCGTGCGAAAGTAGGGTATTTCTTCTTGCCCTCCAAAGAATAGTGCTGAAACTGCTGTTTTGAGTTCCACATAACTAGCTGGACTTCTGTGTAGAAAAATTTTAAAGGTCTCCAGCCTTTCAAATCTTATATCCTGAAACTTCTTTGTATTTCAATGACGTATTTTATTCTAGTGAATCAGAGTCTTATTCAAGTGAACTCCACATAACATATAAACACCTTTAGAATGGAAAGCAAAATGGACAAAAATGCTTCCCATGTCTTTCAGTTCTCTTACTGACTCAGGAAATGCCAACAAAATATATATTACTCAGATAGGAGCCTTACTGAAATCAAGAGGACTCCTGGATAATAAAGGGCTGCAGGAGATGGCCTACAGAGCTCTAAACTGAGAAATACTCCGCAGAAATGCTTTTTTATTTTGTGTCCTATCCAAAGGAAGCTTAAAATGAAAGGCAATCCAAGAAAAATAGGCCAGTCCATATAAGAAAGTGAACATTTCCTCCTCTTGTTGCTCAGGAAGCTCTATTTAAGATTCAGATGAGTTGTTTCAAACAAATAGATTGAGCAAGTGGATAGTGTGGATTGACATATCACTGTCTTCTAAAGTCTATCTGTATTCTGTCACTACAGAAATGAATTGTTTCCTAGTCCAGGATGTCTTGTGGACAAAGAGCAGAGAGGAAGGTGGTTCTAGATGCAAGGACTTTAATACAAGGAAAATATTTAGTAACAAATTGTTCCCAGAATTCTGAATAATTTATCAGGTAAACAAGGACTCCCTATTACAAAGAAATTCTTATTTTTTTGTGGTTATCAGAAACCTTTTTGGAGGAAGGGATTTTTAAGACTGCAGCAAGTGATTCCCCAAAATATCTAATGGATAAGAGCATTCTCTCAACCCTCCTTTAATCTTGTGTACTCTTTGGCCAACTGGTCAAATCTGGTTGAGATCTCTGAGGGTAGGTCTTCACAGTATGAGCCAACCACCATATTAGACTTTGGAGAATCCACAGAGGAATGAAAGTGTTACAATTCAAATATATATGAGACTCGTCTTCATTAGCTCTGCTGATCACAGAATTATTTGTTCTAGTACATGCCTAGTGGATGAAAGATGCATTTCTCTTGCACTTTCACTGCAAACATCTGGCAAGGCTGGACTGAGACAATTCCAGAGATCAAAGAGGTCATGCAGTCAGTTCTCCAGCAGTGAAAGTCTGCGTAACAAAACTTAGGTCTTGTTAAATTACAGATTTGTTAGTTCTTGTGCTGAACAGTGTATGATTCTCTATATCCAGTCACTTCATATTTGAGTTTTCCAGAAATAGAGTGTTCATAGCACCTTTTTTGTGCCCACACCGTTCTCCACCATGTCAGACTGCAAGAAAGGAATAATCCTCTTTTGTGCTAGACTATTTGGCTCATAGCTACTCAGGCTAATTTTCTTAGGTGTGAAGCAAGACAAGTGATCTCTCTCCAATTTGGGAAAACAGTCACACTTTAGAAGTCAGCTTGCCATCAACTACATCTGGAATTTAAAGTTCTGGACAATGCAATGAGAGCCTTATTCTCAACACTTCTCATTCATCTTGTAATAGTAGAAGTAACTTAAACAAGAGTTGAGCTAGAGTCTCTCATTGGAAAAGATGATAAAAGTCTCTCTACTTACTTAAAACTATAGTAAGTTCTGTCAGTGTGGTGTGTTCGAAAGAAACTGAATTTTAAGGGAGATAAATGATGCCAAAAAATGAGTAATTAGAAGGTACTCAGCTAGGATTTCACTCTACTAGAGCTCTTAAAATTTTATTGTAATTACTAACTCCAAAGACTAGTTTTGCTCTGCAGGGTATAGATTGTTTCTAAACTAACACTGCTGTACTCCTAAGAGCATTGTACTGAAGAGTTTACTGGATTTTGGGAGAAAAAAATCTGTCTGTATTTGCCATATGCAAATAGTAGAAATTGCTTTAAAAATGCAAAAAAGTTTCTTCAGATATATGATTTGGGTTTTTTCTTTTTAAGTATTCAGCTGTAATTAGGTTATTTTGGAACCATATTCCCACTAATGTGAAAGAATTGTTTAGACTTTCTTAAAGCATTTCATAATCATTTAGACTTATTAAAGACTTGCCTGGAAATTCCTGATGGCAAGTTTTAACAAAGAGTCCAAGCCTAAATTATCTTCCTTTGCTGGTCACTGTCTTCAGTTTTAAAAAGGATAAAAATTTACAGCTCATTTTCATGTGTTTTTCCAATCAGTAGCAACATTTGAACCTCTAGCCAACACACTTTTTTTTATTTCCTAAAAAGAACTTTAACCTAGTTCCATAAGCTTTGACAAAAGTCTTTTTTGAACTTTGGACAAAGTTTTCCTTATGTTACGTTTCAGTGAGTCACTTTCCTCAGAGCAGTTGTTACATCAGCCAGTGGGATCAGCAGATTTCGTGCCCTCCCCAATAAAAAGGGAATTCTTACCATTCTTTCCACACAAAATAGCTTTAGTCCATTCTTAAACTGTATCCTAAACATATTATTAAAGAGTCACTGTCCTTCTTATATTGTGGAAGAAATTCATGCTCCCATTCCAGATATCTAAAGGATGATAAAATACCATTTCATTGCTATAGTAGATCAAAGGCAATGAACCTTGGTTTTTTGTTTGTTTGGGTTCGGTTTTGGGGTTTTTTTTACACAGCACCACGTTTTTCCATTTAACCTGTCAGACTTGTTCTTCTGTAGCTTTCTCATTTGTCCAGCACACCAGCTTTTAAAGTATGTCCTCTTATTCTTAATAATCTGCTTTATTTTGCTTTTAACTGTTACGATTGTCTAGTCTTTTTAGAGCCTTTTTGAAAGACAATATGCAGTTGCTCCAAGCCTTGAAGTGCCTTGTCTTTAAATGTTTCGAGTCTTCCGCAGACCTTTAGTCTTTTAGCTGCCCCTTTTAGTTTTTAACATAGCTTTTCCATTTTAAGTAGTTCTTAAATTTAACATCCTCTCTACTAAATGAGTTGCCTTTGTTCTTGAAAGACTGGTGAATCTAGGTACATTACAAAGTATCTTTTATATGGTAACATTTTGAACCTGATCATTCACACTGGTCAGGATCAAGGTAAGTACTGTCTTCTGACTAGCTTCTTTATACCTAAAAAATTTAGCCTTGGAATTGCATCCATTATGGTATTTACTAAACTGTGTTGAATAATTGAAATCTCCCCGTATTTTCCGGGATTTCTACTTTCACAGCCTTCTGCTATCTCCCAGTATGTTACCTTCTCCGTTTTAGTAAAGTATTCTGAGATACAGTCTTTATACTGCTTTTTTACTGAGGCCTGAAATTTTAATCCATACCAGTTCTGTTGATCATTTATACAGTTATTTTCTTTATGATTGACGCTGAAGTTTTCTTTAACATATAGCAACATTCTTCCATTTGCATGACCTATTCCATTTTCTATATACTTTTTGCCTCCATATCGTGGCATCTCAGCTCCTTGACTTAATTCCCACCCCAGAGACTTTTAATCTCATTCTTCTTGTCTGCTAAAGGATCCCTTTTGGACACCTTTCCCAACCTTCTCCATCATGTCCACTTCTCACATTTTTTTCTGTTCAGTTGAAAGCCTCATATATAGTTACTGCTAGGCAAAATATTTTGTTTTCAAATTATATTTACCATTCTTTGCAATTACTGTATGATTTTTACTAGATACCTGCTCATATAGCTTTTCTCCACAGAAGTAAAGAATCATTTTACTTTCTCCTTGTGCTGTAACTTTTCCTTGAGAAAGGAGTTAAGCTTAAGCATTGGTAAACTAGTTCCTGAGAGATGTAGCTGCTCACCATCAGCCTCAAAAAACTAAGATGGTGGAAATTTTAGTCAAATCAGATTCTGGAAGCAGAAGCTCAGAAATGAGACTGTGCTGCTGTTACTCAGAATTATGAAAAATGCAATGATTCTTTTTCTCTTAACCCTTTACAGAAGCACTGTTTAACTTGTATCCTGAGCTATAGAGTTGGAGCTAGCCTTCACTTTCATACTTGATCGGTCCCTGTCTCTACCCCTGCTTTTCACGTCCAGAAAGTTATTGATCTAGAAAGAAGAGAAAGGGGAGTTAACGAGGTAGCAGCCATATGGGAATGCTGGACTTCTGGAAACTTGATGGATAAGAGAGGCTTAACAAATGAGATTGACTAAATGTTTATTTCCTATTAATTTTGCCCTCTGAGATTTGGGAAACATTGTTTTTTCCTTGTGCGCAGTTTCTTCTTTGAACGATGAGTTTAAAGATCATGAAAGGTGACAGGCTGACAATGCTGAAAAGTAGATTTTCATGTTTGCCCAGGCTGGATGTAATTGGCAGTTCTGTCTTCACCTATTAATACATCCGAATGCTCTGAAGATCAGCCGTCCCACATACACACCCAAATGCAAAAGGATATCTTTATTGCCAAGCTTTTCAGTTCTTTTCGTGATGTCACGAAGACTGCCCACCAGAGTACCAGATCTGACAGGGATGAATGTCATACATTTGTATGCAGGGATCTAAGTTTTGAAGCAGATTAACTATGAACTCTATAGCAGGTAAGTGAGGTTAGTCCAGTTGTAGCAGACATCTTGCTACTGATTTTAAGTTGGGTCTCAGAGACAGAAAAATGAGTCTGATCTGGAGAGAACTGCAAAAATATCTGCTACAGAGTTTGCAATTAATCAGTAGAGATAGAAGCTCCTAGCATATGAACCAACAGCATATGAACCAACCTCAACCCTGTAAAATCCCTGATTTGCAAATGTTTCTAAAGATAACATTTCTGTGTTTAAATAGCCATTATGGTTTCCTACAAAGAACCTGAGTTATCAGAATTACTTGCTTTAAAACACAAGAGGATATAAAGATTAATCAGACATCCTGAAAAGCAGTATGTTGTTATGCAATATAAATTAGAGTTAACATAACCTGTTTTTTCACCTTCCTCTTCCAACCTTTTTCCATCTCTCAAAAAATTTTCCAAGAAAACCCATTTATGTTTCTTACCTTGGCATTTAGAATAGAGAAATGGCTGAGCTTATTGCAGTAGGTAGTACTACCTGGAATGATTTTGCAGCACGTTATAAAATGTTCTGTTTGATTTTGACTGCATACATTTAAGCAACATAATGATGTCAGAAAATGTTCTGTACTTGGGATTTAATACTTTTCTGAATTACAGAGCTTTTCTAAAAGGTAGTACTGCTTAACTTGCAGCTCTTTGAGAATTAACTGTGTGGCAAGTCAGGAACTTGCTATTGAAGAGCTATGAGCATACATATTTAATTTGCTGTAATTTATGCCTATATCTGATACTATTTGAATCTGTATGGATGAGAGGTATTTGGTTGTAATAGTTAAAGACTTACAATGCAAGATTATTGAACTGGTAAAGTTCTGTTCTCTATGCAAGGCATTATTTAAGTACATTTCTATCTCTAAACATTGCATTATAAACTAGAGAAGATTGATATTCTGACAAGTAGAAAGAGCTATAATTTTGAGGTGTTCATGTTCAGTCATTAGAAATGTTTCTTGTAAAATGTGATTTCTTTGAAATACGTTTCCTAGTATTTACCATTTGACCTAATTGTAATACTATAAAGTGAATGTGGATTTTTCACAAGTTAAAGCAAAATATGCAAACCTCTAAATAGCTATCACTTTCTTCTCTAAATGAAGATGCGCTATTAAAGAGCACTTCACATACGGTTAGGTGGTCTTTATATAGTCAACACCTTTGTTTATCCATATTTATTAAAACTTTGAACCTAAAGTTTTCTTATATTCTGCATACAAGATATTATTTATTCTAATGCAGTACTATTATGATAACTGAAAATCAGGTAAAATCAACAAGAGTAGCATCTGTTTGAGCATCCAGGCAAAATTATTTCTTTTGTGCAGAAATATGTATGTGTATATATGTAATCATCCATTTTTTCTCTCCAGCTAGGTGTATGGTTTTCCTTGGGCTGTGCATACATTGCTTTAGAAGGCTACGAAGGTGCTGCCAAAGCATTTCAGCGCTGTGTGACATTGGAACCAGATGTATGTACTTTCAACAAGCAATTCAGATAGTTTATCTAAAAGCAACAAGGATGTTTTCATTATAAACAAGCAAAGCAATAATGAAAAACTTGTTTAAACCTTAGCCCTTTGAATAAATTAAACTTGTGCATGAAGGATATATTTTTGTCATGAGGCATCATAAAAATACTTGCCCAATACTTAACTTCGTCCAAGTATGTGTGTGTGAATGTTAAAATATGTTGGAGCAGAAATTCCTTTGTGCTTGCATACATTGCTAAAACAGAGAAAAGGGAATGAGTAGACTGTGAGGAGTGCTAAAAGAGAGATAAAACAAAAAAATTTAATTAAAATACTTAGTCCTCTAAGTAATCGAATTCTCCTGAAAAAAAATCAAGTAAGTGGTTGTATGACAGGTAAATTTGTAACTATATAGTTCATGAGCACAGGGAGAGTGGAGCTTGTTAGCCAGTTTTTCAGGATGCTCAGGGCAAGCATGTGTACAATATTGCCATTTGAATGTGACTGTGCATTGAGATAGCAGAGGCGTCAGCTGGATTACCTCTTGGGAATGTGCTGGCGATACTTTTGTCAGAAGGCCTGACTGCCAGCATGTTGCTCGCTTAGAGTTAGTGCCACCTACTCGATAGAAACCATTATTCATTCTTTTCTCTTGGGGAAAAGAATGAGAGAGCAATGAAAGGTGACAGAGTATTCTTTTTTCTTTATTAATAAAATTAAATAACTAACTTGAAAAAAAAAAATGTACATACAGACAGCCCTGTATTTAACTGGAATTTTTACTTTATATATTGATATATATTTTTTGTTTCAGTACAGTAGATTTACTTCCAAGTAAATACTAAAATTTTTACATATCTGTCTGGGGCCTGCACTTGATTGTATTCATATGAACAAACCAACTGACTTCTAAGTGGGTTAAGTGGTATTTCTTTTGTGAGTAAAGGATGCTGGGCTGGCTCTTAGTTATGGAGGTGAAACATATCTTCATACAATGATCTGCTGCAATGTAATGACCGTTTTCATGAATTAAGCCTCAAAAAGGTTTCCCAACATGATTTAAATGCTCCTTTAGCCTGAGGATAGCCTTCAGTATCAGAACGCATTTCATTGCAGTACCCAGGTTCTGTTCTTCAAATTTATACTAGTTGTCACTTTGCTGAATTCAGTGGTGTGGCTTCACATTTACAGCAGCGTAAGGCAATGGGCAAGAATCATCTCTGTACATGGCTCTGCTGGTTTTACCAGAGGAAAGATTGTCTGAGCACTCCGTAATCCTTTTTAGCTAAAACAGTCAATAAACACTGTTGGAACTAACCCTGTTAGTTTTGCCTGAGGTGCATTAGGGGACATTCAGATAGTTTTTTCCACTAACAGAGCAGTGCAGGTAAGTAGCTTCTAGCTAGTGAGAAGTGATGCGCTGCTGGGAGCACTGACCTCTCCAGCCATCCCAGCTAGATCCAGAAGAGGATGCCTGTTTACAATTTAAACTGAAGGCAAGAGCTGACTTAGTGTATTCCAACCAGAAGGCAGTTAATTGATATCTATATACTTGATTGTTGCTGTAGTCAGTAATATTTATTTATGTATTTCTATTTTAATATAATATTTTCTATTTCAATGTAATATTTTGACCGCCTTGTAGAAAGTATGTGTTAATATGCATGATTAGCAAAATCGATGATATTCACAGTAGTTTTATTTACATATTTTTATGAAGTAAGCATAATATAAGTGAATAATTTTTTTTGGTACTTCTTCTGTTATCATTACAGAATGCTGAGGCCTGGAACAATTTATCAACTGCTTATATCAGATTAAAACAGAAGTAAGTACTTCAAAAGGATTAGAAGATACTGCTTCCAAAATAAATAATTGGGATTTCCTTTTTTTGACATTGAAGTTTTTATTCTTATAATGTGGTTACCTCATATTTTGTAATTCTTATCCCTTCAGTTCTCTCTCCCAGGTTGGATCATTGATAACTTATTTCATTTTGCAGGAAATAGTTTCGTAAGCTTTATAAAAGTAACAACCTCTCACCCTACACTTTTTTCTTGTTGAAAGTATTTATGATGTAGTAAGTACCACCAGTGCAACAGATTCATATTAAAGTTGGAAACTAATTTGACTACGAAGTTAAAAAGAAATGTCAATTTCAAGCAAACTATATATTCAGACCTATGTCAATTCATACTACAAATCTCAGTAGATTTAAGGGAAAAAGAAGCAGTTTATTTTTTATATTACGAAAGCAGATGGAGATCTACATACGTAATAGCTCGCTTGTTCTTTTTCCTCCAAATTAACCACTAGTACAAGCAGCTTTGACTTAAACGGACTGCCTTTTTTGTTCTGTATTTCAACTTAATGTAATAAAAGTTACTTGTAGACACAGAATACCTGAAAGAACTTAATATTTAAGAAGAATTTTCACATTATAACTTGTCCCCAAAGAATGAAACAAAAGAATAAGATAAATTTTTAAAAACCTTACTCAAAATCTGACATCAATTTATATGGTTATGCAATCAGGAAGCAAAATGAAAAAGAGAAAAAGAATAGTAAATTTACATAAAAATTTACAAAAAAACATACGAAGGAAATGTGGGAAGTAATAGAAATGAATTCAAGAGATGGTTTAATATGCTAATGGGAGCAGGATGGAAGAGGAAGTGAAGGTTAGAATAACTATTCAAGTCTAAAAAGTAATAGAAATCAAGAGCTGCTTTTAACTTTTCAGTAGTTCCTTTCATCTTCAGCAGTGCCTTGAGAATGCCCAATGTATTGTCTTAGACCGTGTGTGGTAGATTGCTCCTTTTTTTGCATAAAGTTCAAAAGGGTATGTCAGATGCTCAGTGTACTGGTTTATGCTTGTTTTATAAAAGTGTATTTAATCAAAATAATTTTTCTGTCGATCTACTACAAGGCTGAGAAACTACTGAGTGATTAGTTTCACTTTATTGATTTAATTTTATTATTGTTAATCTACTCTTGTGATTTAACACGCTAAACACATACAAAATTTGTAACCTATTTTTTTTTTGATATTGTATCTTAAGCAGTAAAGGGGTGCATGTTTCTGAGCTTTTTTCCCACAGGAATCATGTGGGAGAGGAATATGTGTACAGGAAATCTTAAGTCAGTATTACATGCTGATATCTGAGTGTGGCCTGTATTTGCTGTGGAATAGCAACTTCTTTGATTATTTGTGCAGTCACTTACAGATCAAGACTCTGTGTGAGTTACTTTAACCCACTCTCAGAACAGAGGATATCTGTAGTAGTACACTTCAGTATAATTTATTCTGGGGGGCCGAGCGGTAGTGAAAGTGTAAATCCTTATTTTTCAAGCCTGCTAGCAAAAAAACCAACCAACCAACCAAACAAACAAAAAACTGGGGAAAGGATTGGAAAAAGGAAAACAAAAATAAAATATTTTAAGTTAATTGTTTTCTTTTGCTCCCTCATCAAAATCAAGCTTTAGTCCAGGCTCTTAAATCAGTCCCATCCAAGGATTGCGCATTTGAGTAAGGCTTAGCGAAGTCTCATACAACAGACAAATACAAAATGTGTAAGTCTTTTTGAAAAGTGTATGTAAACAACTTGCTGACACCCAAATGAAAGGGGTTTTGGTTTTTTGGGGGTTTGTTTGTTTTTTAAGAGTCCACAAGTTTTGTGTATTCTGAATTTTCTCCAGAAAAATTAATTGTGATGAAAACAGATTCTACTCTTTGGTTACCAGAAAAACTTCTCTGGGTGCCAGGAGGCCTTTGAAATCTAGATCTCATATTTCTCAGAACAAACTGGGACTGGCCCTCTGTCCTTTGGGTGAAAGGTTCCTGGTTTCCAAAACAGGATGATGCACTGGTACTGCCTACTGTTTCCTGTTTGGATATGAATTGGTTTAACTGTTGCCCTGGTTGAGGATACTCCATCATTACATGACTTATTAAATACATAGGGGATTTGTTTTGACAACCTAGAGGACTTTATTAGCATAGCAAGAGTGATGATTTGAGGAATATGATTTCCATCCCATCCCTCTGGTACCTTGTCTCCATTTCACAGTTCGATCTGATTGGCATCTGCCCTCCTGATAACATACTAACTTTTTTTGAGAAGATGCGGGATATCATACAGGCTAATCCTGCAGATGTTGAAGAGCAGTTTCAGAAACAGTTTCTCAAGGTGATTGGGGTGCATCAGTTAGCCAGACATCTTCCAGCCTGTCAGAGAGCTGTGGCAAATCCCAGCTTCCATTGTAGCAAAATCCATAGAGGAAGGAGCAGGTCTCTGTTCTTTTCTAACATAATCTATCAAAACTGGGCTCTGAAATCCCTTATTAGGACTGTTAACAATGGAGGAGATGTACTGTTAGTACATTTACTCGGCAGCATCACATGTATCAGAAGAGAGAGAAAAAGGGAGTGAACATGGGAAAATCCTGCCTGTGGACTGTTCTGCCGTAGCTGTGCCAAATGACCTGTTTTCCTTCAGTAATTTTGCTCTATCAGTCAGCTCTCTTTGCGTGTATTTGGTAACTCTTTTAGTACTATGGGCTTAGATTGGCAGTTATTTACATTTTTCCCTGACCCAGCCATTCCAAACTTTTAATGATCCACTAGTTAGATATTCCCGTTTCCTGGCTGGGATATTTACACTCTCCTGGACCCTCTTTTTGAAACTCAACCAACAATTTCTTTGAGCTGTCTGTCTTTAGAGACAGAACTTTTAGCAACTTACTCAAGCAACAGAGCAAGTGAACTGCGAATTTTGATAACAAGCCATCTTTATATGATCTTTATTAAGAAGAGATTTATTGTCATACCTCCCCAAAGAAGATTTTTACCAGCCTGGGAAAACTCTGTTTCAAGTTTTCATTTAAAGGAATTTATTCTTTTGTGTTTTTTCTACATGTCATGACTGTCCAGCTGAGAGTAAGCTTCAGTCTCTTAAAGTCCTAAGGACCATATCATTCTGATTCTCTAGCAAAGCTTTTTTTAAAGTTTCAAATTTATTGAAACTTTTGGTAGTACATTTAAAGCTTTAAACAGTAGGCACCCAGACCTTACCAACATATGCTTCAGATTACATTAAGACTTCTTACTCCTTCTGCCTCCTCTCAGGCAGCATTGGTTGCATGTTGTGCAGGAGGTCATACCTCAACTGTAGGTCAGCTGCTTTCAGCCCATATTCTGGATTTGGCCAAACTGTCTTATGTTCCTTACCAGAGAATGCCATTACTTTTCTCCTTGAGTAAGGGAATGGTAGAGTTGCCTGCGGTGGATCCATATGAAAAAATAATGTCCTGACTTGACAGTGACTTTATAGGAATTATTCTGTCCACCTTTATTCCGCAACACTTTCTTCTGCCATTATGAGATGGTTCACTTTGGTGGTTCCAGCACCTTTGGTGAAGGACCCTAACAGAGTTTGGGGCCACTCTGACACATTTGTACTGAGCAGCGTAGCATCAGAGAACAGAGAGTGTAAGTAAAGCTTCCAGCTGACATAAGAAAAAAAATGGTTCAAAATGCTGGGCTTCTGTGCAATGAGTATGCACATTTACCACGTGCAAATGTTTAAAACAAATCACAGAAAGCTGATATTGTTAAGTAACCTTCCTTTGTGTGATGCAATGAGTCAATATCATTCTGCATCTGCCATGAACTCAGTAATTTTTAATTTTTGAATGTGTGTTACAACTGCAGCATTGTTTTCTCATGGTTCCAGTTAAAAATGCAGAAAAGAAAATACTGACATAGATGGCACAATTATGATGAATTTTTGTCAAAATGTAATTATGAGAGCTAACGTAGAAATTACCTAGTTCAGACTCTACAGAGTGTACTGTGGAGTGAACTGATAGAAAGTAATTGGCAAGAGAGATTAAGGAATTATCAGTATTGTAAATTATGAAAAATAACTTTTATTTTGCACTGTTTTCTAAACCTGATTTTTTAAATACGCAGCTTTTTAGTTGATACAATGCCAACTCATTTTAATATAGAAATCTTCTATATTAAAGCTCTAATACAGATTCTTCTTTTCTATTCTTCTTTTTTATTATCGATTAGAGTCAAAGCATTTCGAACCCTCCAAGAAGCTCTCAAGTGCAACTATGAGCACTGGCAAATATGGGAGAACTATCTTCTCACCAGTACAGATGTTGGAGAGTTTTCAGAAGCAATTAAAGCTTATCACCGGCTCATGGACTTGAGAGAAAAGTACAAGGATACACAGGTGGGGAAGTTTTCATGTTAAGTCATCCTATATGTTTATTAATTTTTCTTGTGAGACAGAGAGAGATTTCTGCTGAAATGGTATCAGTAATGATAGTACACATACCAGTGAAGTTATGTAGGCAAGCCGTTTAATTTTTTTGAGATCTGGACTGTAAGACTAAGTATTTAAAACAGAAATGGACAAAAAGTAAACCTTTGGCATCCAGATTGCCTCAGACTTTGTGGAAGGACAAATATGAGCCTTGCAGTTTTAAGATCTATTCCTAAATAAAACACAATGTATAACCCCATCTTTCCACATTGTTCTTGCATATCTTAGTATCAGAAATAATATAAATGATTTAAAGAAAGGTAAGCTTTTCCCATGTGTTTGAAAATTCCACAAGTGAGCCTTTGAAAGTGAATTATGCTTCATAGATTGAATGCATTACAATCAGAACAGTGATTCTTAATAATCGGAACAAAGAAAAATAAAGGAGGTATTTTGCTCATCATTCACTGTAGTTCTGTTAAGTTCAGTTAACTTCTGTGTTTGTAAATATATGCTCTGGATAAAATCCAGAGAGCTTACTTCAACAGCTTCAGCTGGGATGTTACCTTGCCTAAAACCAGGTCCTGATCCAAGCAGGGTTCTGTATACTCAGTGAAAATAGCAAGGTGAATCTGAAAGGCAAGCCAAAGAATCCCTTAAGCAGAGTAGTGAAACACCTCCAAAAGACTTTGCAAAATTAATGGGTCTGGTTGAACAGCTTATGAGCTCTTAGGAAGTTTGTGTGTAGTACCAGGGTAAAAGGACCCAGCTGCTGCTGGTCATTGATCCCAGGAGTATGTTTCTTTTCTTATCCCATAAAATGATTAAAAGTAGCTTTCCTGGATCTTCGGGGTTTGAGTCCAGTGATGAGGTGAGAAAACAGATAGAATTAATTATGGTTGTGGAAACATCTTATTTGTTCATGGGGGGCAGGGATGTTAAAAACTTTTTTCAGATTACTTTTTAATAACAAATTGTACATGAGTACAATACTTACTACTATAAAGCCAACCATACAGGATAACATTCTGTATGAATAAAATGTTTAGGATTTGATATGGCTGAACATTAAAAGGTCTCAAACGCTCTTTGGACTAACAAGTATCTATGGAAAATAGTGTTATATATGGTAAAGATTAGTGTGTTTGGCAGCTACAGTATTGTGGTACTGGTGGGGCCTGTGTGTTTATTCATGGAACATCTTGTAGATGGTTGGCTTTTTTTAATGAATTTTTTTCTCAATTGTTAATTTAAATAACTTTTTTAGGGGTGACCTACTGTATTATTTTAGTCACATTGACAGCTGACCAGGAATAGAACTTTCTACATGTATTTGTCCATTTTAGATATTTTGAGATGATACAGACTCCTGTTAATGTGTTTTGTCAAATTTTGTGTAGGATATTTTATTAAAATATTTGGGGATATTGCTTGCACTAGATTTCTATTTTTGTTGTATAACTCTTTTCTTCATCTTGTTCTTATACAACTTTTATTATTTTTACAGAAGTATATATATGCTATGTATCCTAAATTTTTTTTTGCATCCTAATTTTAACTTTGGCCTTTGATATGTAAAGTGCTTTATGGGTTTCATCATAGCTTCTAATACAGTTTCCTCAATTAGGAGGATTTTACTAGTTGGCCAAGAAAAACCTCAGAGCCTGATTAAAGAATTTCAGAAAGGCTTTAATCAATAATCTTACAAGGAAGAGAAGAGTATTCCCATAGCAAAACAAAAAAAACCCACATAAAACTAAAAGCTTCTGCTGAGATTGTTTACAAAGCTCACCATTAATTTCTGAGCCTCTCCCATTTGCCAACTGGCCTGTTTTAAATAGAGATGCTCTATAACCCTCTCGTGCAATTGTATTTTAACAAAGTAAAATCATGAACATGAGTAAGTGGAAGCATACACCTCTATTTCCATGCAACATAGTATGATCTTCTCTCAGGTATTTGTAGTCGTTGTAGATTTTAATTGATAGACTACTAAGCTAGATAATATAGTGGTGAGAAAGAAGGTAGGAATTTAAAAATCCAGAAAAATAAATATGCACGGGACTGGAAGAAACAAGTTGAGTCATTGATTCCAGTTCTTTGTGAAAACAGAAAGCCAGTCACCAATCACTTTTAGCATAATCGTTGTTGCAGAATACCCCTTGTGAGACTGGGTAGAGATGTGAAACACGTCAACTAAGAATGTGCAATTGAATACTTAATTTGAAATGTCTTTGGTTTGTGTAGTTACATCAGATTTTTTTCTTTTATTTCAGCATAGTATGAAGTCATATTCGTAAATCACTAGTTTCTTCTAATAACAGTAAGGCATTCATATCTTCATCTGTGATTTCTGTTAGGCCATTGCTGTCTTTTTGTGCCAGACTTCTGAGTACAGAATGCAGCTTTGGGAAATTTTGCTTCTAAGCTATTCTAGTTATTTAACGATGTCATCCTTGTGGCAAAAGTTCCGAGATCAGGATATCATGAGGCTTGAAGATATGTATGTACAGATTCTGCAGTCAGAATTGAACAAGGAAGAGCTGAACGGCTCTTTATAAATGAGCAGCAATGCAATAAAAGATTACAGCAAAGGACATACTTTCGAAAGTCTCCGTTTCCTAGTATTCCCCTTAAAGGTTATAAGCATGCTTTCTTGACAGCTGGACTTGATGATCTTAGAGGTCTTTTCCAACCTTAATGATTCCATGATTCTTACCTTCCTTCCTTCCTGGTTCTTAAAATTCTTCAAACTTCCATATTCCTTTTAATGTTCATGAGCCTACTAAGAAATATACCTTGAAAACCTTTAATATAGACATTATGTAATAAAAGATAGAGGCTCACTGAATTATCTGTAGTTTCAGCTAGTAGATCAGTCGCTAAAAAGGATCTTAGGAGAAAGCCTTACCTGTTGCAATCATCAATTTAGCCTCTGAATTATTAGTCTGAGGTCGTAAATATACTTGAAAGATTTCTGCAACTGCTAATCACGCTACTTTGCACCACGTGCATGTTTGTGGAGGCAAGCTGTCTTTTTTACTTGGAAAGTTGCAGTTCTGTGAATAACAAAGTTATTTTGTGGGTGGAAAAGCTGTTTTGCTACATTGCTTTCAGAAACCAGATCTTCATCCTGTGCTGTCAAAGAATATGAATTCAGGAGTATGGACAAATGGTTCCTCTCTGCAATTCTGTGTTCTTGAGAATCTAGCAAGGTTTTTCTGTTACCCGTTCCATAAAATATCATCCTCATTTCAGCAGTTTGTATTGCCAGACTGTTTCCCATAAAAGGCTGCAAGAGCATGTTCCAAGGGGATTTTGAGGAGCGAGGGTAGGAATTAATAATTTCTGGAGCTCTGTTTCTTTTTAGTAGCTTACTAATGACATTTGTCTTTATTATAAAGCTTTAATTTGGGAGGGGCATAGGGAGAGCTCATAGACTGCAGATTTGTCATTTTGGATCTGGTATCTGAGGGTTGTCTTCTTGAGCACTGTCAAGTTTGATTAGTATTAGTGAAGCTTCTAAAAATGGTTTGACCAAAGTGAATTTTTGTATGAAAGGAGCTGTTTGGAAAACAGTTGTGGAATGAGATTAACAGATAGCAATCACAGCATTTAAAAATGATTGGGTTTGTTTCTAAGGTTTTGTCCAATGGTGATTTTTGTTCAGTTTTTAGTAAACACACATTATTCACAAAAGCAAAGGAGAAGGAGGAATGCAGAGCATGTGATGTCATACTAAACACAAACTGTCTACACAGTGGTTATATGGAGCCCAGTTCGTTAAAAGGAGCATTAAAAAAAAAAAAAAAAATCTACTGCTTGTGTGGCATCCTGGGCAACAGAGCATTGCTTTACTCATTTAGTATGTATGGCAGTTTAAAATCTCTCAAAGATATAAACCAAAATTTAACACTTAAGAGAACCGTCTAAAATGGAAAACTCTGTTACACTGCTAATACGTTTTGATTAGCACAATTCACTTGCAATTTGAAATAGCTTTATTTAACAACTGGGCACAGCCAAGTTGCGTTAATGATTCTTTTTATTATTTATTATTATTATTTCTGTTTATTATTTATTATTATTTCTTATTTGTTAATTACTGTTTAATGGACCCTTTAATCTGGGCTTTTACACTAAGTTTATTTTAACTGCTGTAGTGCTAAAGCTTATGTGATGAATTACAAAAAGGGAGATAGATTATTGTGATGAAAGTGTAAGCAAAGCCTGAAGTCTATGGGAATATGGGTAATTTCCAGTTGCTAAATCCTACTGACGGAGGAAACTGTTTTTTTTTTTCATGTGCAAACAAAGTATCATTGGCTTTGAAACTCTTGATAACTATACATGATATTCATGTGAACTAACTTCTTGGACTTTGAGTAATAGTTTTGTTAAACTGAGAAATTGATTGAGAAGTCATACATGTGTGTATGAATCCTCAGGACCAGTTCTAGTTCCTTTTCAAAACACAACATAGGTTAATGTTTCTTCTTACACCTCTTTTATGTTTTTTATTACAATGCTGTAGTAATGGAAATATCAATACTTACTGGTGTTTTTCTAGCAAATCATTATAGAAGACCTGATTCATTTAATGCTGGGTTTTAGTCCCTTAGATTCCAAATCATGAATGCAATATGAATTTCAGAACTTTTTGACTATTAATAGTTGATCATATTTTTTATTATCTTAAGTGAAAATCTGAGCTCTTTAACAGAAAAGAAAAGAAAGAACAGCCAGTTTGTCATATCATTTTATAAGGACTATACTGTTACGGTTTGGAGGGGAGGAGGCGGGAGCTGTTTATCTGATGTTCAAATGCTATTACGATTTCATATTGATTCTGAAAAGATACCAGGGAGACGTATAATTTTTTTTCACTTTTTCTGTTACATAGATTTATTTCATAACATCATCAGCCATTTTGATTTATTTGGGTTTTTTTGCCAAAGATTTCCTATATTTGATAAAACTCAGTAATTAATTCTTGGGATGCATGTTAATTGAGTCATTCTATAGAAGAAAAGTTGTTTTAGGAAAATGACATATCACAAATACTAAACTGCATATGTTTTTATTTTAAGTGTAATATACTTTGATACTGTCATAATTTTTGCATTACTTTGTGCCAGTGAACTATGTCTTGGTTTGTGAGGATGCACCTATGTCCTGCTTTTACTAGAGTAGTGGTACATTTGTGTGGTTTGGGGCTATTCACAGATCATCTTTGAAATCGGTTTTATTACTGTTTTGATATTAATATTGCTATTAATGCGATTTCATTGTAAATATTAATATCACATGGACAAAAATGTTGAAGCATTAAAGTTGCCAAATGATAGCCTCACAAGTTAGGAAGTACCAGCATGAACGTGTTTGTATGTCTTTACCGGCCTATCTTGAATGCAAGCCTTATGAGACTTCCATTTTGTTTTTGTCATTATTTCTTCCCCAGTCTGTGTCTCATGCATTACACAGAACAGATAGTTCCAACTTAATAAGCCACAGCTTTTCTGAGCTTTATTGTCTTCTAATTCACCATATGATCCAATGTCTTAATTTACATTTGCTGTTTCTCGTTTTATTGAGAAGGAACTGAGGCACAGCAAAACTGTTTTCTAATTTTCAGCATCCAGTTTGGGACGCAAAGGCTCATGGTTTTTTCTGGAATACTTGGTATTATGTAGCATTTCATACATGCAAAGCCCAGCTCCCATTGAGTTTGCCAGCAGCTGCACGTGCTCAGCATTTCTGCAGGTCAGATCCCACATTCTCAAGCCAGTGGCTCAGAAAGTACAGCCTTTAAATGAGTACTTGTAAAATGTTTGATTGAACTGACTTGACTAGTAATTCATCAGAAGTGCATTAAACATAGAATTTCCCAAGGTAGCATTCAGTTGCCTTCCAGTTTCCATCTCATCTACTATCCATCTTTCAGTTTCTGCAGGTAGTTAAATAGAGGTCCTGTAAACAAAAGTGTCTTCCGTTACTTCAATTAATCTGGTTCAGCTTGTTTACTGATCTTTTTATAATGGTATTGTAAGGTGAAAATACCTTTAGGATACTGTCACAATTTCCTATACCATTCTCTTTCACACTAGCCTGTCCTGGTAACCCAAATTTCTATCTTAGCTCTTTGGCCTCTTTATCTTCACCAAACATAGAATCTTATAGATGAGGTTTAAATTAGTTGAATTACTCCCCTAATAATGTCTTTCTTCTTAAATTCTATACTTGTCGTATGGTATTATATTTGTATTTTACTGAATCATTAATAGAGACCAAAAATTACATATATCATTATATATACTGATGTTGATTTGAGTTGAAATAAAACCTCTTTCCTGCTGCTTTTTTAAGGTGCTGGCTATTCTGGTCAGTGTGGTAGTGGATGGTATGGCAGATCGCACTGGAGAGGTAGCGAGTGGATTGAAGGGGAAATTGCAAGAGCTCTTGGGCAGAGTGACTTCACGAGTGACAAATGATGGGGAGATCTGGAGACTTTATGCCCGACTTTATGGAAATGGACAGAATGATAGTGGTGAAGATATTGAAAAGGTAAATGTGTTGTGAGGTATATGTTTTTAGGGATACGCACTTCTGGTACAAACCTTCTGTTCTCTAACAAACTATAGTGCTATAGTAAGACATGCTTTGGTTCCAGATGTGTTTTGCTTTAGTGTTTCTATAAGCTTATTTTGTGCTTTTCATGTTCCTACAGCACACATTTTTATTATCTAACAGGAGCAAGATGTTTAACATCAGTTTTTGTGGATTTTTAAAAAAATCTCTTTTATCAGTATTTCATTTTAAAACATCTTATCACAGCATATGTGCATTGTCTGGGATTTGTGTTCTGAAACTTTTCTTGTCAGTAATCTAATGGTGGTGGGTTTTTTTTAAATTGGAATCTTTGATTCTGAAGACAAGATATTGCAGCTTCTGGAAAAAAGTGGATCTTAATGGCATGATCCAGTCGCATCACAAGCCATCTATATTCTTTGCAATCACTAAGGGAAAATGCATTTAAGATCGTCCATACCACAGTTCGAGTTCCCAGAGTAGAAGTGCTTTGTCCTTACTTAGCTTAAAATGGAATTAAATAATGCTATTTAATTCTTAATCTGTTGAACCATTGGTTTCTCTTTACCCGTCTCTGGTTTTGCTACATTAACTTCCATCTCTTGTTCCTATCACTTCCCAGGTAATCGAGTTGATTGCATTTCTAAAATAACCACTCTGTGCTGCCAGAAGTGTTTACTTTGTTGTATGCTGAAGTGTGCTTTGCATTTGGTATTAACTTTCCAAAATTCAAATAGCTTTGCACACTACAAAAATACTTATGGGTTATCAGATCTTCACTGAAGCTGAAAATACATAAGGTCAGCATTCGTATGTGTTTCCTAATGGGGGTATGCCTTTGGCCTACACAAAAATGTCAGTCTAGAGGATTGCTTGTCGCTTGATGTCAAGCATATTATGCAGATGGTTGGGCCTACAAATTGTATGCCTGTGGGGTTAAACTTAAAATTATTTGGACCTTACTCATTGTCTTCCTCTTTACACTTTACCCTGTGAAATGCCCTGTTAAATGCCGGTGTCCATTATACCTCCAATTCCTCCCTTTTTTCCTTCCCTATTTTTCTTTACAGCTGAACAATAAGAGAGATTTGGCCTATTTAGAATTCAGAAATACAGACACTGCAATATCCTGTAATATATCCTCAAATTCTCACTCAGACATGCAAAGTAGCAGAGGCCCTGTCTATACTATAAATGTAATCATTTCAGAATCTGGTTACATCACAGTATTTTTCACTAACCCAGTTAAAAACATGGTTTCAATTTGTAAGTAGACAGGACTTTAACTGTGTTTCCTAATCAGACTGGTTATGGAACAAGTTTACGGGCTAGCTTGCCCTGCAAAATGGAATGATGTTTATAAATACTAAAGGTATGCTTAGGTGTGTATCCAAGTATCCTAGTATAACGGTACCATAGATATAGATCACGAAAGAGCAAAACTGCCTACAGCCACAACATATATTAATTTACAGTGTAAAAATTAATTTACAATACGTTAGATAATCACTGGTAGCTTTTCTGATGTCATATTATAAAGTAAAAATGTTAAAAACAGTATTTATTGGCTTCACTGCTACAAGCACCATCATGTGTCAGTCAGATACTAAGTGAATATAACTATCTGTAGAAAAATTCCAGATGTATCGTTGCAGTTTTCCGCCCACATTTATTATGCAAAAGGTCAGAATTCTGAAAGGGCATTATTTACTATATTGTGGCATCATAGGACAAAGAGATGGGAACAGATCTATCATAGTGTCAGGGTTTTACCTTTATTTCATAATGTAATACCTTATTTAGTGCGGATTTAATTATATTTAACCAATTTTGTTCCTAACATTGCATTTGAAAGAACAACCTTGTATATCTGGCTATTGTAAAGGGTGAGTTGGTTGTTGGTTTTTTTACCTTTCTGCTCTGCTACCGTATCTGATGCCATGCTAGAGTCTACAGTTACAATTCACAACAGTGCTTTGTAAAGTTAATCAAAGTCAGACAGGGTTTACAAGTTAGGTGTGTAAAACTATTGAAGTGTTGGGTTTGTGGGGTTTTTTTCTTTAGCTTAGCATATATTTACTCTTACACTTTTATGTATCCGATCTGCCACCTCACTCAGTCCTTCATTCTTTCCTATGCTGAATGCAGTCCAGTCCACCCCTTTCCCACCGAGGACATACCCAGGCTATGAAACACTTCTGTTCCTTGAACTTTCCCCAGCTCATAACTGTTTCCTTCCAGGATAAATCCAGGTTCCAGAAGTGCAAACAAACAGCCCACAAGACTTTGAATTCTTTCTCCTCCCTGACATCTGTCAGCAAAACCCCCCTAATTTGCTGCTCTGACTCAGACACGTGCAGACTGAAATCAAACTGCTGTAAAAACTGTGGTTCCTTCTCTTGGAAGTTCTTGCCTCTGCTGGCCAGAACTACTACCAATTATAACCTAGGTTATTATGAAAAAGATTAATTTCCTCTGGTTTGATTTAATACACCTTTACTGCAATTTACAGCAGCGTGAGCAATTCAATCCATAGTGATTGGAACTCCGGTGGGAGAGAAGGTAGAAGCTTCTGGGGTGACGACCCTGAGATTTAATCTGTATTTGTTCAGCAATCAGAAATCTTTATTGCGCTCATGTACATGTAGCGCACTGAAAGTTTTTTATTCCTTTATATGATATTTAAACTCTTCAAAAAGATAATTGAAGAGTTGTCATTGAACCAAGCCATGTAACTTCTGGCACGTATTTGTTTCGTATTTCTGATGCTGTAGAACGAAAACAAAACTCGAAAGCAAAAATTAATTTCTTCTGCTTAAATTTTTCATGTTTTTTTTTTCTTAATGGGACCCTCCTTCCATATTGTTTACATTTATTTTTCCTGTTCACACTGAGAACCAGAGCAGAATGGCAGCTAATAGCTGCATCTGTAAAATAAATTATTCACCAAGAATACATATATAGAAAGAAAGCTTTGATGTATTCAGTTACAAATTTTTAGGTACAAAATTGCTGTTCAAAGTGTGAGTACAAGTATTTTTCCCTTTTTCATGTGCATTTAATTATGATGACTTGGCAAACATGGGTCACATCCATCAGTCTAGACAGATTTTTAAAAGATAAAAATTAGACACATGTTACTTTATATGCCTCTCATACTTGAGATACAATATTGGTGAAGAACATCTGTGTTACAGCTGGTGCTTACAGTTGCAGAGAAGGACACTACTCCAACTCACAGGAAATCAAGCATAGTAAAGATACATTCATTTTCTGGATTGAGCATTAGTTTCATAGATACTTAAAACTAAATCAGTCTCCTAGTTTGTTTTCTCACATACTGATCATTTTTTTCCTCCTTGCAGTCACTGCAGTGTCTCACTAAGGCACATAAATGTGAAATTCAATCAAGTGATTGGGAGAAAGATGTTTCTTCTTTTAAGAAAGTGGTGAAAGGAGCCATAGAGATTGCACATGGTATGTTCTACCTGAAAAGAACTTTTATTATTCATGAAGAATGTAGCAAATATTTGTTAAGCTTATTAACAAAATAATATTATACTTTACCCATTATATTTATTTCTACTGTTGGGAGTCCTCTAACAGAGAGCATCATCCTGATAGTTCATACAAAAATATACTTGGAATGAGGCAGAAATTGTGTTGGGTGAGTCAGTAAACATATGACTGGTAAACATGGAATCGATTAATTTCATGGTCTAGCAATTTCATAACGCACGTGAAAATGCATCTATAGTTCATCTCAGTCCTCAAATCATCACTTAAGTTTGATTGACTGTGCCAGTCAGGAGGTGGACAAACCTTTGACTCGGTAAGACTATTCACTGTGCTGTGATACTTATGTTTAAGAAGGATACATATACCTGTTGGGTTTAGAGTTACCGTCTCAAAATTACTTGGCATTCTTTTTCTTTGTGTTTCTTTTTGGGGATATTACATTAAAAAATTGTCTATGGAAAGTATCAAGATTTTTAATTAAATGTTGTTGTTTAAAGATTATTGCTGTAGAGGTAATGCTTTTTTGTTTTGGGGTTCTTTTCTTTTGTGTTTGGATTCTAGTGGCTATAAAATGCAGCAAGAACAAAACTAATAATCAGGAAGCTTTGCAGATACTTTCTTCAGCTCGGCTCAACTTACGTGGCTTGTCATCCAAAGCAAAGGTAGGAATGTTTGAAAGGTAGGAATTTTTGTTTGAAAGCTAGGAATCTTTGTTCTATTGCCAGAAACCATTTCTCTGTTTTGAGTCCTTTGTAGATCAAATAATACCTGCCTGTCCCACTGCATCATCAGATGGATATTCACCTCTACGCTGCTAAGGATTCCAGTTTTAAGTAGACTTTTATTTCCCTTCTTCCTGCTAGGCTTTGACTGAAATAAACCTACTACTCTAAAATGTCAATGCTATCTCTTAGACTAAGTTAGAATTCTACTTAAAATATTGGGCAGACTCGAATGTTTGGAAGAAACCAGTCATTTCAAAGACCTATTCCTTATGTGAGTAGTCATGGGGGAAGCAGGGCAGTCTCAGAAAGAATGGATGTAAACCTGCAGAAAGGACCAAAATGTGTCAGGACTACTTTGCATCACTTGAAGTGTATTAAAAACAGAGTTACTTATTAAAAGAGAGTACTAATTTATAATAGGTTTTCATGGATATCCTACCAATTCAGATATTAATTCGTTGGAAAATGTCATCATGTTTGAATCATATGTTTGCTTTTGGAGTTGTGCCTCCATAGCCAGGCACCCAAAGAGCCAAGTCTGTTTCTGCACCATTATTATCCTAATTTTACCCTTCATCTTACAACATGAGATACAGCCATTGTTTAGCTGAGGGCTGATCTGGAATACGTTTTCATTCAAAATACACTTAGTGCCTTAAAGAAGTATTCTTCCTGGCTGTGTATGGAGTTTAGTAAATGTGAATTACAGAGCATAAGTTTTATAACATGTGTGCTTGTCTTACAAAGTGTTTATCCATCATCAGTGTGCTAAACTTGGCTCACTCTCTTTTAAGTCCTATAATTTTAAGGATAAAAGCCTAGGAAATTTGTGTAAGCAGACACAAGCTGGCTCCGTAACTGTGCTTTTAGATACCGGCATATGTAAGGCTTTAGACTCTATGATCTTAGAGGTCTTTTCCATCCTTAATGATTCTATGATTCTTCAGAATGTGGTGAAAAAAGCCACAACATATATGTTTTGTTGTGATTCACAAATGATTTTTAAAAAAAAAAGTGTGTAGACTGAGTAAGACTGTAGAGAAAGCAAGACTACTTGACATAATTATATAAAAACAAGTACAGGTAGTTTATATTATGCAAGATCATCTGACATGTTAGAGATAAAGCTATTGGTGTGACATCACTGTTTTTGCATACTTTCCAAGATGCCATCTTATTTTTAATTTGAAGTCATATTGAATTTCCAAAGTATGATGTGGTTTAAAAACTCAGTCATCTTCTGTAAGATCCTATGCACAAACAGTTTAGCACTGTTTATGCCTGTCCAAGCTTGACTGCAGCATCTCCTTTTGCTGCCTTGTGAGTCAATATTAATGTGAGGGGTTTTTTTCTTTTTTCTTTTAACAGAGAAAAGCACTTAAAAAAATGGGCTAAGAGCAGACTCGATAGTTAAGATTTCAAAAGGAACAAAGGAACAGTGAAAGTAACTTTTAAAAGATAAAATTTCAAAATTTTGTAGTCAAGACATGCAATTGGAACAAATCAGTAGTTTTTGTACAGGTGAAACAAGGTCGCTTCTCAGACTTCTCACCCTTCCTGGGATCTTCATCTCTGACATTCCAGCTCCTGTGTTGTGCTGGACTCATGATGCATCCACATTCTGCTGAAGGCTGCAACTCGAAAATATGTTGTTAATGGGCTCCTTTCTGTACAGAGCCTTCTGGGCAGTTGCATGCTCTGGCAAATAGCACAGTGGGCTCTCTCCTGCTCCTTTCCCCCATGCATCATTTGGATCTGACAGGTGGGGTCTCCGAAAAGGAGAAAGGTCATGGAGCTGTATCGTAAATGCATGAAATGTGCATACTGTTGTGGGGAAACATGGGGCACAAAGCCCAAAGAATGATGGTGCGTGAAACTTCCCCAGGCTGCATCTAGTTGGATAGATCTCTTTAACTGTGTGGAAAAAAAAAAGAACAAATAATTATATCATCCTGATTTATTTAGCTCTTAGCCAGAAAGAACCAAACTTTTCTGTCACATTCCCAGTGTGAGGGTTTCGGGCTGAAAGTCAGAAAAGTTTCTGTACTTGTAGCAGGAACATGTTCCTATTTTTATGTAAGATGTTCCTTTGTTCAGTGACAACACTGTTCTGAGGCACATTGAAGACCTTGGTTCAGGCCTTTTAAGTACATTTTTGTTTATATACGTATCTGTATTGTCCCATTAAGTTTTGATGATATAATGATGTACAGATGTACTCCAGAGCAACTTTTGTTTTCTTGGTTTGTTTTTGTCTCTAAATGTAGGCTTTTCATTTGTGTCAAATGAAGTGTGAATCACTCTCCCTTTACATAATAAAGGGGAAACATATGTTTGGGTCCCCCACCACTACCATATTTCTGTGGAGTGGTACCTCACACAGCCTCCATATTACTTGAGTCAAATGACACGTCCTGGCCTTGCAATAGCAACATGTTCTGGTGCAGTATGCACAAAGATCCAGTCAGAGCTTGCTATCTCAAGGCTTTAGACAAGTCATTTAGCATTCCTCTCCCTTGGTTTCCCTGTAAATACGTGAAGATCATGATTGCTCATAAGTTAGCTGCTTTATGTTTTTGTTAATGTCTTAAGGTCTTTAAGAACAAACTATTTTTATTACTCTGTAGTGTTTTCTTTTCTCTTGTATAACTTAATTACACACAGATTATGTCTCCACCCACGCATGTCTTGACACCAAATGTTAAAAGATGTTTATTTGGGGTTTTGGAGAAAATGACACAACAGAATATGACACTGAGAAAAATGGCCATTAAAATTCACAACTACTAATTTATCAGCAGGTGGGTTTGTAAACTGCAGTGACAGTATGTGAGATGCTCTTCTAATTTGAGTTTCATGGTAAAGTCCTTCACTTTCGATGGGATCAGGAGTCAGCGTAGGCAGTCAAGTCAGAGCAGAAACCCAAGATCCACAGGAGGATTCGGCCCCTCTGGCAAAATATCAGGTGTGTGGCACAGACCACACGGTCTATATACGTGTGTGTGTGTGTGTGTGTGTATACATACACACCTTCTGTTTATTAGCCACAAAATGGACTTTTTAAAAAGAGAGATACCGTCATAGGTACCAAAAATATGAAAGGCAGGATAGTGGTGATGAGGTTTCTGTATTCTGTCTCTACGCTGAAACAGAGAAAGTGTATGTATATTTTAAAATAATGTATTTCTTTTTGTCATGCAGCAGCTTTTTGTGGATGTAACAAGTAATGAGGTTCACAGTGAGATAGCTGATGAGGTGACAACTATGGACAACATGATTGCTAAACTTCAGGAACTGAGTAACCAGCTGAGAAACCAGTGCTGACATACAGACCGGATTTCGTGACAGGAAGACAATAATGACATGTTTCTTTTGCCACAGCTTTTGCTGATGAAATGGTAACAATTCTAATGCAACAACACTCTCAATAAACATTTTTCTGTACAGTGCTGTTCTTGCGGTCAGCTTTCTTCAGAGTTCAGGCTGCTTTTTAAGATTCTTATCTGCTCTCGCTGTCTTGCAAAGTTGCATGTTTTGATTCCTCAGGGCCAGATTTTCTGGAACAGAGCTACTTGTATTTATAAGGCGATTATTGAGGATTAGTTCTGCCTGGCTGCATCACACCCAGGCGCCAGGCCTCCGCGGGATGCCCCACCTACGTTGCAAGCGGGGGAGCAGGAGAGGCACCAGGGCGGGAGGAGGTGGACAAGCACTCAGCAGAGGCAGGAGCTGGGCCCAGCCTATCACCCTCACCAGAGAGGCGCACAGCCAATCGGAAGGCACGTCTGTCTGCCGCTGGCCAATCAGAGGAGCTGTAAGGCTGGCCCTTCAGTGGTGGGAAGCTGAGGTGAGGGCAGGGTGTCATGGCAGGGAGGACCGTGGGCACCAGGGGGCTGCAGGCAGGGCCAGGGCCTGAGGCGGCTCACTAGGTCGTCTGGCTCTTTCCGATTTTCATTTGGTGTTAACTGCTTACAGGGGAGTAGGAGTGGAGTCCCAAGAGTAAGAATTTAGTCTTTTTTGTTATTCTTGTAATACAATCGAAGTAGCAGGATGTTTGCTGCATTAGGATTTACAAACAGTTATTACTTAAAGCAGTATTATTTTATTCAAAAACACATAACTTGTGTCCCATGGGCAATAGACTAGCACTTCATTTGGGCCTTTTACAGGCATGGGGATTTCCCCCCACTGAGGCAGCAATAAAACTGCAATCTAGTCTAAAGTAGTTATATCTGACTAGACCTGAGTAAGTTACTTTCATCTAGACTATTTTGCATTGTTTCATTTTTAAGCATTTTTGCTACAGCTCTTCTTAAAATAGGATTTTTTTCAGAGTTTTCCAGAAACCTATGCAAAATAGTTTCCTCACTCATCATGATTTTGGCTCTTTCTTCCGTATGACAATGATGCAGTCTCCAAAAATGTGGTTATCTATATTCTGGGTACGCACCGTCTGTGGTATGGTCATTAAAACTATACCGTTACTAAATGGCAAGAATACTGTCCCTGAAGAGAAAGTTGGAAGGTAAAAGGAAAACAAACAATTAATTGGATTTGAAGCAGCAGTAAAAGCATGTTATTTTGGTGTGTGAAGGGGGAAACCATCCTGATGCATTTGTAAAGCTTTGTATCCTTGTAAAGCTTCTTAGAATGGAGAATAAATTATTTGCTGCTGGTATTTTAACATGAGGTTCCCACAAAAATTATTATCTTAAAAAGGGTTTATCTGCTAGTGAAGGAGAGCTGGCTCCTTCATTGAAATGGCCCAGAAAGGGAGGAGGCATTAAAGTTTGTGCAGAGTGAATTTGCTGGAGATACTCCCATTTTGCTTCTATGTACAGTGAAGGGTCCAGCTGACTGAAAAAAACAGGCTGTGAGTTTTGTGACAAACTCCCACCACTACTATCTTTTATAATTATGTTTATTCACAAAGGAAAAGAAAAAAATCTTTAAAACTATTATTTTGTTCCCAGCACTAAATTTTCTTGGGAAGAAAGAGTTTAGGTGTGGAATTGTTTGGTGGCAGAAAAATCTCCCATTTTTCTTGTGATCTTATGGCAAATTTTAAACCAGAATTATATCCCAGTATTAACTTGAAAACATGAGACTTGAATTCAGTTCTCTTGATTTAAAAGAAAATAATTTCCTTTGAGTTTACCTGAGACACTTTTATAACTGAAGTTTGGAGGTTCAGAACATAAAGCCGCATTCATTTTTGTGTAATGGCTTCTGCCTAGCATTTAATAACGCTGGGTGGGAAGTTAGCATTTCATGTAGAATATTAGAGAGGTCTGTGAGAAGGCTTTTATTTCCTTTCCCTTTTGTTTTTTTTTCTTTTGAAAATAATTTTTTGGTTTTTTGCCTAAGGTGGTCACATGAAAAAGTCATTCTGCTCTTCCAATGTCTCTCCCCTGCAGTACTTCCCGTGTTTTCTCAGCACAGATTTTTCCCTCGTTTGAGCTTCCCTCTCTTAGCAAATGTGTGGAATATAAACAACTTTGTCTTTCACCTAATACAGGGAAAGCCTACTATCCACAGATGCTGTGTTCCTGAAGAGCGGGATGGCTACTGTTATGACAGCACACCAATTTTCCTGTCATAATTAATGTAATAAAGGGGAAATGTCGGCAGAGACTTAAAAATACACAATTTAAATACATACAGACAATATACATGGTGTGGAGGATGGAGAGGCAGGAGCTGGCTCAGCGTTCAGGAGACACTGGCTTTTCAAAACAGATAACCATCCCAGATCAGCCACTTCATCCATGAGACTGAATGCCTGATGTAAATCTCTTACCAGGTAAATTCTTGCTTCCTCTTTCTTTGTATTAGAGGCATTTTCATTTTCCTCAGATACAAGGTGAGCCTATACTGCTGCTTTGGAGTTCATCATAGGGGCCTTTTAAAACTTTACAGACACAAAAGCCACCTCAGTTTTGTATGGTACTCATTTTCTGTACTCAAGCCAGCAGCATTTGGTTCAGAATAGCTCTAGGAGACCATTGTCATGAAGACAATGTTACTATAAAAGCTCTGGCTGTCAAAAAAACTTGCTAGTAGGCTAGTATGGAAAGAGGAAGGAACCTTTCCTAAACAGACTGCAGACTTTCCAGATCTCCATCTTATGGGGAGCATCTGTCTTCTAACATGGGGATGTTTTTTGCTCAAATCGCTCCCATGACAACTGCAGAATCCTTGAGGGTTTAGCAAAACTGGACAGTCCTTTCCCGATGTAGTTGTCACACCTACAAATACATCTCTAATATCTATGTTATTTTCAAGTGCTCTGTATACAGCTATATGGTAAGATTACTTATTGTAGCATGGTCTCAATTAAGCAATATTTCGCAGGAATGGCTTACAGTTCACAGCAGAAGTTCATGTACTTCCAATCTTTTTTTCTTTTTTGACTTTAGAAGTATTAGGGGTTACCCATTTTGTCATCTGTCTGCCATTAGAGCTAATTTGGTGTGAAGTAGAGGTAAAACAGACGAGTCTAGAATTTTTCAACTTCTGCCTACCCAGACAGGGAACGCAACTGTCTCAGGGTTTTGAAGATGAATATAAAGCCAGTAAATCTTGAAGGAAGTATGATGTATGAAAAAGAATTTATTTCCATGGCCTAAGAGGGTTTGTTTATATGTCTTTGACTTAATATGGTTCAACCTATGATATATTTTCAGCTACTGGTGGTTAGAACCGAGGGAAGATCTCCTGATTCACCCGGAGGGCTGTGTCTACTCAGAGGATGCGTACACAGCCGGGTGTGGTGCTAAAAGGTTTTATTGGGTTGGGACATTACTCACGAGCAGAAGTGAATGTTTTTAGGGCCGGTGAGGCCATGCTGACTCAGGCAGGTCATCCCGAATAAATGCCAGTAAATGTTGTGTTCCATGTCACATCATCCTTGATGTTCCTTCCACCACACTGACTGGTACATTCAGAAAGGCAGGCAGCTCTCATCCCATCATTCACGCACAGCTCTCGTACTAAAAGTGCCTTGGAAAGAAATAAAGCTTGGAATAATTTTTCAGATCTAAAAATGGTGTATGGCTTATATGCAAATACAGAGGATACATTTACAAGATTAGCTTTCGGATATGTACATATGTAGGTTAAAACTACACCTCTAATTATTTTCAAAATAAATAAGGCAGAAAAAAACAGGTATTAATTTTATCCTGCTTTGGAGCAGTACTGCCCAAGAAGGTATGAAGTCATTTTGAAATTATTTTGATTTAGCTCTTCTGTTCAGTATTTCTGTCTCAATATCAGTGACTGTATGAATGACAGTACAGATGGACATAATGTATTTCAGGGGATAAAAAGAAGCTAAAAAAACTCATGCTATTTGCAGAGTAATACAAATTCAAATAATATACAAGTATTTAACTTTTCTTCATCTGCATTCATGCAGAGCTCTGTACCAGAAGTGTGTACGAAACAGGGAAAAGGTAACAGCTCATAGTGTACAACTTGGGTTCTCTGAACTTAAAAGTAAACTGGAATTTGATAGGAAAATCTTATTCTAAAGACGAAAAAATTACCATCAACTGTATGGAGTTGTTTTCAACGTGATTACTGAAACTAAGTGCTTTGTGTTTCAAAAATTATTTCAAGGAATTAATTTGATTGGTTTTGTTTATATTGTGTGTGGATATATATATATGTAAGCACATATGTATACCTATATGTATACTTGTATAAACACGCACATATATACCTATATATAATCGTGTGTGTGTTATAGAAAGAGTTGTTAATTCTGAAGGTGATAGAGGTACATTTACAGGAAGGTACATCTCATAAAAGTGTGTATTACAGACTGGAACATATGTCAGCCTCCTATCTGTGCATTTCTAACATGCTTGCCACTAATCTAAGTGCTGACTACAGGGTTGATAGTCTTCCTTTTCAAAAATGACTAGTTATTTTGGGTGTACTGTTGAAGAAACCTTTAAAGGCGCCTGACTTTAGAAGTGAATGTGCTAAGCACTCTCAGAAAACCAGCCAGAGCCTTTCAGACTCTCCCACATTACTCATGCAAAGTCCCTATTTTCAAAGTCCTATTAACAGGCAATAACTAGAGACTTTGTGAATGCTCACTATAGTTCAGGAAAAAAAAGCTTTGCTTTCATAATTAAATACTTTTAAACACTTAACTCTGCCTTAACTCTGAACTTCCTGCTGTCTTTGTTTCAACTCTGTTTTCCAGAGAGCTTTTTATTGCTGATCTACTGGTTAGGTTTAAAATATGTAAACAGATATATTTTACCATATGTTGTTTTCATTTTTTTATTCACATAAGAAATTTCCATTGGTGTCTGCCGTTACAAAACTGGTTTCATGCATTTATGAGGCATTTTAAATTCAAATAGTAATAGGATTGACTTTGTATTAGGGGTGAAGAATGGAGAGTGGAATTTTAGAAATTATTTTATTT